GGGCTAAGGGGCCGGCGGAGCGAGCCGGAGGAGGCAGCTGCTCCGGCCGTGAGGGACCCGGACGGCGTCCCTCCCGGGCTCCGAGAGTCGAGGGGTGGGGCACCCGCGGAGCGCACTGCTGAGGGTGGGGCAGGTTACTTCCGCCCCATTGCCTTGGGGTCTGGGAGTCGTGGGCCCCCTTGTTCACCTTGAGGACGCTCCCTCAAGAATCCTTGGGCTGGGATTATTGCCGAGACCTTCTGGGGGGGCCGGGCTGCTGGGCTGAAAGACCTTTCTGGCTGCGAGGAGGGAAGCGGCGACAGGTCAGCGCCAAGGTCACGCAGCCAGACCCGCAGTCACAGCCACTGAGCTGCTTGCTTCTAGGGCTGGCCCCTCTGAGCCCGAAGCCAAGAGGCTTTCGCGGGCAGGGGTCTCACAGCTTGTCCCCTCAGTCTCAGCTTGGGGACTGCTGATCCCCTAGGTCCCCTCTGGTTCACACATCCCTTCATGTTGTCCTCAGACCCAGTCCTCCAGGACTCTATGACCTATTACCTGGCGGAGGGTCCCCCACTCCTCTCGTGGCTTGGACCCCCCAGATCGGCTCCCTTGTCCAGGAATCCCTAGGTCCCCATTTCAGGTTCAGTGACGGTCACGTGTACTGTGCACCTTCCTGTGACCCGGATGTACCTGGGGCACCATTCAACAGTCATCCGACAAACAGTAACCACCAACTATGCACCTGCACTGGATGTACAGCGGCACGGTCTCTGTACACGGTCAGAGGGCTGAATGAATGCTTCATCAAGTGAGAAGTGGACCTTGCAACCTGTTTCTGCGCTCTTTAGTGACTGCTTGCAGCACAGAGAAATTAAGTGACTTGTCCAAGTCCAGTTTCTTAAGGGTCAGGTGGTTTCTACAAGGCGGGATGGTGGAGGTCTGTGGGGTGTGTTAAGCATCTCCTTAAGCCTGGCTGGTGCTGTTGTGGAACTTTTGCTATAAAGTGCCAGACAGTAAATACATTTTTCTTCTTCGAGACCCACACAGTCTGCCTGTAACAGTTCTTCAACTGAATAGTGAGTGGGCGTGGCTGTGTTCTAATAAAACTTTATTCGCAGGGCCTGCCGTGCAGCTCAGTGATAGAGCATTTGCAGGGTGCACATCCTCAGAACTGGGGAGGGGGTACTTCATGTATGGATGCTGAAATTTGAATTTTATAACCTTGCACAAGTCAAGAAATAATAGTCATTTTATTTTTTCCAACCGCTTAAAACTCTACCTACATTCTTAGCTCAAGGGCTGTGTAGAAATAGGCCTGGCATTGGATTGGGCTGAGCTTGCAACTACTGTAGGGTATCTGAGCTCTGCATTCTCCCGCTTTCTGGCCTCATCAGGTCTCCTGTGAGGGCCAAAGTGAGGAGGGCCTCAGCAAGCCTGGGGACCTCGGGGACCCTTCCTTGGGCTCTCTTTGCTCCCAGACACTCCTCTTGTGCCTGGGCTCTGACAAAGTCCCACATCTTCCAGGGGCCCTGTGGTGGCCTTGTCTCTGTCTCTTGTGGTTTTATACGTGGTTCTCTTTTGATCGCCCTGTACCTGTGAAACACTCCCCTCCCCTGAGACAGTGGGCATGGGTTGTTGTAGACAAGTATCACTTTACTCCAAACTTGAAGCCCCTTCTCAGTGAGCCCCAGGAAGATGTAGCTTTGCTGACTGCACCGCAGTGTTTGCCAGGACCGTGCCTGGCACCTGCTCGGGCCCAAAGGTCCCAACAGCCACTTTGTTCTCCTGAGCCACAGAAGGGGCACGTTTGCTTGGCAGCGTGCAGCATACAAGTGTTTCATGGTCAGTCTCCTTTCTTACCTCGGTGGCTTCCCTTTATGGAGAGGGTCGCTCCACTACTAAAGAAAAGACGAACCGGGGTCAGAGAGGCAGGCTTCTGGCTAGTCATCGTGCGTGATGGGTGTGTGGGGTGAGGCCAGGACTAGGACTTCTCTGCCTGGCTCCCCGCAGGGTTCTTCAGCACCTTCAGATCTTGTGCAGTGTATGCTTTGAGTTTGGGTTTTGGAGGAGTTTGGGATTAGTGCCTTTGCCTCTCAAGCTGCAGTTAATCCTTTACCACCTCAAGGATTGTGAATTTTTCCCCAGCCACGTACCACGTGCACTATTTTTTTACTATAAATGGACTTTTTAAAAATTTAAAATCACATGAAAACAGGAAACTTTAGGTCATTACAGAAGCCAGGATCATGTGTTGTAAGCAGAAGACAAATGGAAAAAGAAACACAGGGAACAGAGCCATGTTATTAACCTTGGGCTGGGCAGGGCTGTGTCCAAGCTGGGGTCTGCTTGTTTTGTTTCAAAGGAAGTGTGGGGTAAAGGGTGAGGGGATGAGTCGGAACTGATACTTTCGTTTTCTTAGGAGAGAAATAACCTAAAAAGACAATGAACTTGGTCCCCTTGATTTCAAAGTTCTGAGTTTGGGCCCCGACTGGGTTCATCTCTGGGATGAACACAGAACTCTTAACTTACCTGACTTACTTGCCCAAGGGGGAAACCATGTATCTGGAAGAAGGAGACAGTCTGTCTGTGCCTGAGCAACCCTTGAGAAGGACGTGGGGACCAGGGGGTGGAGCCGAGGGAGGGAGGGAGGCCCCCTCCCCCTGAGGACCAGCTCCTGGCTTCCTGGCCGATTCCCCTCTTTAGGGGGTGGTCTTATGAAACTCCCCACCATCACCATTGGAGCAGAATTGGAAGGTAGGGCTTTGGGAAGGGCGGGGGAGCCGAGTGACAGCCGCTCTGTGCTTGTTAGCTAATCATGTCCTGTTGGGTTGGCTTCATGGCTATTTCTGTATAGGAAGGTTTGCGATTCCCCTGAAGGGTGGCTGCATTGGATAGCATGACTATCTATCCACCCGCTCTGATTCATAACAGCATACGGTGCAAATCAGATCGAAATGCTAACGTTGCCCATTCATTCGGTGTTGGTTAACCAGAAGGCTACCAGCAGCCCTGAGAATAGCAATACCTTGTTAGCAAGTCAGCTCCCTCCTCAGGATGGTAAGTGGAAGGATGCAGGGTGCTTCTGTTTGTTTGATTACCTTTTTGAGTTGCTGGAATATTGCTAAACTGCTTCTCTCCCTCTCTCCCCCTCTCCCTCTCCCTCTCCCTCACCCCCTTTTCACCCCCTTCTGCCCCCTGGCTTCCTCTCGGATCTCTAAAAGGGCAGTTGGAACCACTGAACGAGGTGGGTTAATTCAATGATGTGTGTGGGCTGGTTTCTAATCAAGAAATGTTTGCCTTTCGTGTTGGAGGCTCATGTGGGGCTCTTGGGATATTGAGACTTAATGGATCACCAGATGTTGATAAGGGCACAGTTTCGATCTCTCATTATAGGAAGGAGATCCCAGTGAAAGGACAGGAATTGGCAAGACAGGTGTCCCCCTAGTCATTCCATTAACTCTCTCTGTACCCTTTCATGTCCCCGAGATAACTGTTTTTAAATATGTTTTCTTTGCTTGCAAGAAGAGAGTAATATTCATTGTGTTTCAAGAACATATTTGTCTGGCCCTGAATGTGTAAAACATCCAAATGTCAAGAAAGACATTGCATAAACTACAAAAGGAAATACCTGCAAATGTTTTGCTTGCTCTGAATGGCTGTGCCGAGTTGATGTTTGCCAATCTGTGCCTGCAGCTGGTAAATAGGAACAGGAAACATTTTGTTCTAAATGCTAGAGGTGGAGAGAGAATTCCCAAACGATCAGCTTTGTTTCTCGCAGGGTTGGGCTGCTTGTAATTTTGGGTGTCGTTTCTCCTCTTCCTCCTCTCCACCCTCCCTGCCTCCCTCCCTTCACCCCCTCCCGGCATGGCCTCAGGGTTTTCTTTCTAGAATCTCTGATCTGCTGCTGTGCAGATGGACCTGCCGGCATTGCTGTCAGAAGTGCTACGAGTCCAGCTGCTGCCAATCCAGCGAGGATGAAGTTGAAATTCTGGGACCTTTCCCGGCCCAGACTCCTCCCTGGCTGTGAGTAAAACTGCTTTGAAGTTGATGTCAGAAGCCTCTCTCTCTCTCTCTCTCTCTCTCTCTCTGTCTCTCAAAGGGTTTAGAGGTGTGAGAGGGGAAGGCTGCGTGCCCATGGACAGCGTGGCTGCAGACGGCAGTGTTCTGGGCCCCTTGCTTTATGTGGCAAGCTGGGAGACCAGCTGGCGGGTCCGGGGGTGGGGGTGTCTTTAATTCAGCTGATTTTAGTTGGACTTCAGTCACTTCAAGTGTCATTCCAAGCAGAGAACAAGACTTGTACGCATTGCATTCTCCAAAGGATGACCACATTCTTCTGGGTTTCCATCCCAATCTGTGCGACAAGTTGTCCCGACACCCTGCCCGGGGCTGGCACCTCAAAGATGTCCAGTAAACGTGAGTTGTGTGCATGGGTGGCTAGAATGAGCAAGCAGTGCCCTTTTGCTAGTTCTGAGGAACTAGCTGAGGAACTTGAAACACAGGGAAGTAGGAAAGCACCTCCAAGCCCCATCCTGTCCTCCAACGCTGTTTATGTTCTCTCTGGCATCTTTCGTTTTATTTCTAATCCTCTCTCCTCCCTCGCCTGCATACAGCAGCTCCATCTGCCATTCGCTCGGATATTTTGGGAACACAGTTTTGAAGCTGCTCGGCTTCTGGTCCACCTCTCCATGGCTGGAGAGGCGGGGAGGCCAGGGTTGGGAAAGCCCCTCAGGGTGCAACTGTGGAACAGAGAGAGCTGGGCACACAGTCAGAGCCCCTGGGCGGCTACCCGGTACTATCTCAGCTAAACCGGTGGGCTGAGATCCCCAGAGCATTCAGCTCCTGTTTCTACCGTGGTTTCTAGTTCTGTGATCTTGGGCAGTTGTCTGACCTCTCTGTGCCTTGATTTCCCATCTGTAAAACGGGATGATAAAAGAATATTGTTTATCTCACAGGGCTGTTGGGCGTGAATTTGCCTATGGGAAGGTGCCCAAGAATGTTTGATGCCTTGTTGCTGATCATCAATGTAAGGGTTCCTTTCGCCTTGCTTTGTCTCAGATTTCTCATCTGGGAAGTAGCAGTAGAAAAAGAACTTCTAGGGCTGTAATGAAGGGTAAAAGAGGTCTGGACAAATGGATCTTAGCACTGCATGAGGGTTCTGGGAGTGCTCACTGCTGTCCCGTGTCAATGTTACCAGCTTAGCTAAGCCAGAGGAGGTGAACTGTGTAGAACTTTCCGTGATATAAACAACCTGCTGCGACACGCGTACCATGAGTTGGCCACCACGGCCTTCAGCTGATGGAGGGCAATGCCAAGGAGCCCTTCTACGATCATAGGCTGTATCTGAACCGCACAGGTGTGCATAGATTTGGGATCCCGGTGAAAGGAGCTCAGCGTCAGATAATTCCCAGTTTGCATTGGCCTGTGTGGCGGTGTAGCTCAGTCTTTGTGGTGTCACAAGAACGGCACGTCTCTGAGGGGAGGCAGCTTTGTCTGTCTTGTTCACTTAAAAACCAGACTGAGCTAAGCTGGGCATGGTGGCAAACGCCTGTAATCCCAGCACTCAGAAGGCTGAGGCAGGAGGATCACTGTGAGTTGGAGACCAACTTGGGCTACATATTGAGTTCCAGGTCAGTCTCAACTACATAGTGAGACCCTGACTCAACCCCCACCCCCGCCCCCGTGAAAAAAACCCAACAGATTGAGCTGGATGTAGTGGTATACACCCATAATCCTAGTACTTGGGAGGCTGAGGCAGGAGAATCATGAGTTTGAGGCTAGCCTGAGCTACACAGGAAGTTCGAGGGTAGTTTGGACTGCATCCTAAGACCAAACAAACTAGACTAAGGTAGGTGTGGTAATGCACACCTGTAATACCAGCTACTCAGGAGGCAGAGGCAGGAGGATCTCATGTGCAAGGTCAGCCTGGACAGGTAGGAAGACCCTGTCTCAAAATAAAAATTAAAAGATCTGGGGATATAACTCAGTACTTCCTAGTTTTCATACTCATTCCTGAAAACAAAACAAAACAACAAAACCAACTAACCTGTGGGCAGAAATTGAACCCAGAAAATGCTGCTCATCCAGTTATAAAGTCACTCTCAGTTTCTTGGGTAGCTATTTCCTGAGGACATGCTGTGTGCTAGGCACTTTGGTTTACACAACACTACACAGGATCCCATTACTGTGGTCAGGGCCTTCAAATTCTGTGTAGGAGGCAATTAGGCCAGTGTGGAAATCCCATCGTCCCAGAGTTGTCATTCACACCCTGCACACTATGTAAGACAACCCAGCACAAGGCCTTGTTACAGGAAAATCTAAGGACAGTGGCCTTCAGGCATGGCTGGATCCAGGGGTTCATATGATGTCCTCTCTGTCTCTGTCCCTGTTTTTCCTGTGTCTTCTCAATCAGCCTCATTCTCAAACTTGCTCTCTCTGTATGGAGCACTGAAATAGACTCACGTTCTCTAATCTTTGTAGCAGAAAGCCCCCAGAGGCAACCAGGACTCCCACCACCCTGCCTCACCTCATGTGCCAGTCACCACCACCTGCAGGGAGTGGCCCTGGAGTCATGCTGGGTTCCTGGGGTAGGGGTGGCTGGGCCGAGGAGACCCCGCGCCTTGTGCTGTTCGGGCTGCGCATGTAGGGCTTTCACCTCCAGCCCTGTGCTGTAGCTGTGACGGCTCACTGATCTCTACAGCCGAAGACCCAGGCCATAGCCAGAGAGGTGGGGCGGAGGCTGCTGCCGGAAGAGTGGCTCAGCTGTGCATGCTGGGATCACAGCCAGGTCCCTGTTGGCCCCGAACACCCAAGGCTTAGGGTTCCAAATGCATAGCCTAACGCCAACACTGAGTCAGAGGAGCTGTGTTTGGCCTTGATCCTTTGTGCAAGCTGGGAATCCTGTGTGAGGACCGAGGGGTTGGGACCTTTGGGCACACACTTATTTTGGTTTTGCCACAGCAGAGAAGATATGAGAGCTTTCTTATCAGGCAGCTGCACATGGCACCGTTCACATGTCTTTGTGAATGGCACCATCTTGAGTTGTGCAGTCTACATTGTGAATAGCTGTACACGACCTCCATACTTTTGAGGTCTGCCCCAAACCCAGATCAGCACTTAACTTGTTTTTGGCACTCAGCATCATTCAGAAAGGTAAGAAATCTGTAAAGGCGAGGAGGGTTAAATCATCGAGAAAGTGAATTTGCAGCTTGTGTTTTCTACAGATTTATTTACTAAGTGGGCAGTTTCCTGTTATGAAAGTCAGGGAGGAGAAATGTCAAGTGTATGGGCTTTGCAGTGCTGTGCCTGCCGTGACAGCTGAGCCATGAGCTAGGGCCTGTCCCTGTGGGGTGGCAGGGGGCAGGTGGGCCGGCCGCGCATGCTCTTGGGCCCCCTCTCCCGGCTGGTGAGGCTGGGGCAGTGCACAGCAGCAGCACCGCACCACTTGCTGGCAGTGTGGGGTGGACGCAGGGCCGAGACCGCACTGGGCCACTGCTCTGCCGCTGTGCTGCACCCTCCACCCTTTTATTTCTGTGTTTGAGACAGGGTCTTGCTAAGTTGCTCAGGCTGGCCTTGAACTCGCAGTCCTCCTGCCTCAGCCTCCCGTGTAGCTGGGATCACAGGTGTGCTCCTCCATGCCCAGTATAACCGGCTCCTTCAGGCGAATGCCAGGGGACGGTTGTTGAGGAGTGACGAGAGCCAGCTGCTTATTTGCTGGAGTGGGTGTTGAGAGCCTTGTGTGTGCATGGCTCTTACAGTGCATGGTGGGCGGTGAGTCCCTCTGCAGCCTCGCTCCCACTGTGGCCGTGCGGGTCAGTTGTTGCTGCCTCCCCAGCTCACCTGGGCTCCCAGTCCTGCTGTGAGAGAGAGGAAGCCATGTCAACTGAAGGAGAAAGGAGATGTTGTGTGGGGGGACATTTAGCACGGTGCCCAGAGCCTGTAGGTGTGCTGTGCCCGGTGCCTTTGATCCTAACAAGTGCACATCCCATCATCCAGAAGTGCATCCTGGGCCGGGCGTCATGGCGCACGCCTGTAATCCCAGCGCTCTGGGAGGCTGAGGCAGGAGCATCACAAGTTTAAGCCCAGCCTGGTCTACTAACCAAATCCCATTTCCCAAAAAAAAAAAAAAAAAAAAACCGCTGGGCATGAAGCTCAGTGCAGAGGCCTTCCGTTCAGTCTCCAGGGTGTGCAAGGGGTGTGTGTGAGTGGTGACAAGATGAGAACTCGAATAATGGCGACACAGGATGAATCGGCACAGAACCACGAGGAGGGCGCGTTCATTCATTCCCGGCACTGTGCCGGGCCCGAGCGGGCCGTGGTGGGCTGGGCAGACCTGCCTGGGACACACGGAGCCACCGCCAGCGGCGCCGATGACAGCTGCATGCAGGACAAAGGAGAGGAAAAATTGGGGAGGTGACGGCCGAGTCCGAGTCGGGATCTCTCGGAGGCAGAGACCCGAGTGACGAGAAGGAACCAGACAGACGGAGGGCTGGAAGTACGCTGGGCGGAGGGATGCGATGGCGCAGCGTGCTGGAGGAAGGGCAGGGCAGCCTGGCACCTGCGGTTGTGCCTGACGGTGCCGGTGATGTTTCAGCTCATCCTGAAGGCTGCTGGGACCTCACAGCAGGGGTGGCTGCTGCCACGGAGAAGCCTGGGAGCTGGGAAGCAGGGTCACACGGGGATAGGTGCACCAGACGTCATGACATTTTGCTCTGCCTTCTTCAGGAGCTGCTGCTGCTCTTCTCTTTCTATTTTCCCTCCCTCCCTCCCTTCCAAGAAAAGGTCTTGCTAAGTTCTGAGCAGTCTGGGCTTGAACTTGGAACCCTTCTGCATCAGCCTCCCGGAGTGCTGGGATTCCAGGCGTGCCCACCATGCTTGGCAGCTGCTCCTCTCATTTCAAGGAGAGAATGGTCAGTTTGGTCTCACTCCCTGGCCCCCACTCCCCTGCACCTTCTCGGGCTAGGAACAGACAGCAAGCAAATGTTCCATTTCCCTCATACAGTGGCTCCAGGCTTGTCCTGGCCGTGACCTACTGTCACTTTGAAAGCACAGCAGACTGGTCTCATTTCATGCACAGGATGCATCTGAAGACCTCACAGAAGGCAAAACTTGCATTTTTTCAAGCTGAGTTTCCCACAGGCTTAAATGTCAAGTTGAGGGGACGCAGTCTGGGCAGTTGGAAATCTGCAGCCACCGCAGCTCAGGGTTGGGTCAGCAGCAGCACCTCATGCCTGAATCATCCCTTCCCTTCCCCAGCATCCCTGCCTGTCCCAGTGAGCATTTGGAGGATCTGAAAGCCACCCCGTTGTAATACCAGCTACAACACCAAGCATTTTTCCTAGCTATTTTTTTTTTCCAGTGGTACTGGAGCTTGGACCCAAGGCCTTTACACTGAGCTTTTCTCCCAGCCCTTTTTATTTTTAAAGACAGAGTTTCACTCAGTTGCCCGGGCTGGACTCCAACTTGCAGTCCTCCTGCCTCGGCCTCCCAGAACATTGGTATTAGAGGTGTGCTTCACCTCGCCCAGCTTTGACCTAGCATTTTATATCTGACAACTCATTTGGTATGGACGGCAGTACAGGTAAGGGAATGGAGGCACAGAGAGGAAGGGACTTGCCCGGGATCCCCAGTCAGAGTTCCAACCCAAAGACTGTGCTCTTACTTACCACCGCGTGTCTTCTCCGCCCTTGTCCGCTTCTCCTCCCCGGCCTCTTAGTGTCTCTTCTCTTCTTTGGGAACTCATTGAGTCACAGCCACTGCTGCTGCTGATTCACAGCTGTTTCCCTACATCGAGTTCCTATTCTTAAATCATTGATTCCTGGGATCATTTTGTAGCTGTCTCCCTGTCACTCAAAGAGCCCTTGAGTGACATTGTTTCGGAAGCAGGGATCGAACTCGGGACCTTGCACCTGCCAGGCAGGTGCGGTGCCACTGAACTACATCCCCAGCTCAAGTGACATTATTATAGAACATTTTAAAAAGACGTTAAATTATAGGCGCAGTCACTACTCACAGAAGTGTGGATGCATAGAAACACATGGGTCCTTTGCAGACTGGAGATGGATGGGTCTCCGCTTGGCTGCTGTGGCGCCCCCAAGTGGCAGCGCCCAGCTTTGTTTACACCGCCCTCCAGGAGGTTGCTTGGCTGACTGCTCTAAACCCCTAAACATTTTGTGCAAAAAGCCTACCTTGGTGAGAGTTTAAGGATGCGGCACTACTTCAGGTTTACACTGTTCCGAGTTGCACCAAAGGTTCTGAGAGCTCCTGTGTCGTGGATCTCGCAGCCCAGGGCACCGTCCCTATGCGTCGCTGCTGCACTTTTGCTCTGCCTGCTTCCGGGCGCCTGGTCTCCGAGGTGTAGGGAGCCGATCAGGGGCGGGGACGGTGTTAGAGACACAGGTACCTCTCTGGAATCCCTTGGCTACCACTGAGACCTGCCCTCCCACCACAGGATAGCCAGCCGGAGCGGTGACAAGGACGGCGACTCTGTCCACACGGCCAGCGACGTCCCGCTGACCCCACGGACCAGCTCCCCGGATGGGAGGCGCTCGTCCTCAGACACATCCAAGTCCACGTACAGCCTGACGCGGAGGATTTCCAGTGAGTGTGTGTGCTCGCCGGGCTCCCCCAGACATCAGCCGCGTCTCCAAGCAGGGATGCGAAGGGCAGGGCTGGTGGGCGGTGGAGATGAAGTCGGGTAACAGCCCAGGACACAGGTGATTAGAGGCAGTGACCCCATGACAGAAGGTGTGTCCAACCTACCTGATTTCTGCTGAGGTCACTCAAAAGTGGTCGTTTTAATTGGTTTATGGATCGCAAGTTCAATCGACTCAATGGGCTCACACTGTCTCGTGTGTTATTTTGGAGCCTGCTGCCTTGTTACACAGCAGGGCCCCTGGATGCGTCCGTGTGGGCACAGAGGGTTGCGTAGAGACAGACGTTACGCTGCTGCCCTGATGGATGGCAGCTGATGCTCCATGTGAAGAGGTACCTGGGCAGCGCGACAGCTGTGGCCAGCTGGAAAGGTAGAGTCCCGTTGGAAGAGGCCAGGTGGTTGCCACTGCAGCCTAGCCATGGGTGGCTGTGAGGGATTTTGGGCCCAGTGTTGTCTGATCTTCCTGAGGAGAAACTGGCAATCTGGCATTGTAAATGAAAACTCCTTACCTTTAAACCTAAACAAAATATATGCGGATGCGGAAGTCCCATGTGGCCACCCACTTTGCTGGGTTGTGTAGCATATGCATTTGACCAAATGGCAGGATTTGAGTGGGGAGGAGAGAGGATACAGACCAGGGACCGCAGCCTTCTGTCACACTGCAGAAGTGTTCACTGGCTCCCTAAGCTGACTGACGTCTGAGATTCACTCAGCAGGGGGAAGGTGGTTCACATCCATGAGGTTAATCCACTCCGGCGGTGAAGATCAGTGCCTAAGCTTTCCTCGGAGCAGATGGGGAAGGAAGGAGGAGAAAGAAATTCTGAGGCCTCAGATAGGGAGACTGAGGGGGTGTTGGGCTTCTTGAGGTCTTGCTCTTTCTCTCTGTGACACGAGAGGCCCCTTGCACACCTGCACTGTCCGGTACGACAGCCAAAGTCATGCGCAGCTGTTGGCACATGCATGGCGTGGGGCCAAGTGGAGAGATGGTGTGTGGAGCACACACTGGACACTGGAGGTACTGTGAAAGAGAATTTAAAGTATCTCACTAAAATGCTTTTAGTGATTGTCTGTCAAAACGATAATACTTTGGGGCCTTAGCTCGGTGGTGCTGCCGCCTGCCTAGCAAGTGCAGGGTCCTGAGTTCAATCCCTGGTACCAAAAAAAAAAAAAAAATAATAATAAT